TCTATTCTATTCTATTCTATTCTATTCTATTCTATTCCATTCCATTCGTGCTCTTTCTTTTAACAACTACAAGGATGCACTATTTCATTATTTCTCCTATCACTTGAGGTAGAACAATTTCACGCCACCTTCCAAACAGATCCAATGGGTGGTGATCTTTGGTCATAAAAGGGCAACCTGGCCCTGCAAATATGGTGTAGATCTTTAATGCTTAGCTCTCTGCACTGCCAGTCCTAGACGATCAGTAGACAGCAGTAAGTAGATACCAAAAATGTTAACTCTTTTCATCATGTGGTGGTTGGTTAGAATTTGCATGAGGTGAGCAGCTAGCCCCAACACAGATTTACTTTTCCTCTCTAGATCTTTGTCATTAAACACAGTTAAACATGAAGAAATTTTAGCAAGAAAACGCTGTAAAATGGCTTTCTTCTCTAGAGTGGCAACTACTGTAAAACCATGGAGTCATTTTGTTCAAGAATCACAATGAGAGATCAGATCTGTAACTTTCACAGGCTTCACATCTTTCCCGGAGAATAGCTAGATCAAAAATTATTTCATTTCATACCATATGACTCCTCCATAATCACAGAAAATGGGAGTGTTGTGTGTGGTAAAGTATCAGGTAGAGGTCTAAATTCAGGGATTTCCCCAATATTTTAAGATCCAACATGTTCAAGTAAAATTTATGTACATTGCACTGTTGTTCGTGCATTGGCCTAGATCCCAATTTCTTTCCTTTAAGGCAATATTTTTACTGTTTGAGGAATGTTCTGCATGCCAACAGAAATGATTGGGTGCTGGGATCATTGATGTCTAATGATTGAGAATGTTCTATGCAGTCTACTTGCAATTGTTAACATCAAGTGTTCCTGTTAGATACTGGATTGTGACATGGGTTGTGGTGAGAAATGGATTTGCCTCTCTTATGACATTCTGTTATTTTAAAAAATTCCTCAGAAGCTATGTGTGCCTGTATTTTGCAAGTCTAGGACAAGCGTACATATATAGACAAATGTTAAAGGTCCTCTTGAGAGGAAGGAAGGAAGGAAGGAAGGAAGAAAGGAAGGAAGGAAGGGAGGGAGGGAGGGAGGGAGCACCATTTCTGAAAGACAAGACAAAAAGTTCACTGACTTTAGGGCAATGAGAAGAAGTTCTTTAAGGAATACACTTGTGTTAATCAGGAAGAAATAAAATAGGATTAACTGGAAATGAGGAAATCTTTAACAGTAATGGAAATCTTTGGCAGAACAGGATCTATACACATATGCTCACCCTTATTAGGAGGATCATGGCCAAGAAAATCATTATTTCTCATTAACGAAGAGAGATTTTATGTGCACGGGGGATACTTCCATCTTAATTCTCTGTCCAGCAAATTGCACAAAAGCTGATCTCAACAACAACAACGTGGGAGAACTCTAATATGGAATCATTTTATGGACAAAGATTCAAACAATACTTTTTTAAAAAATCAGATATTGTTTACCAATGTTTTCAAGATGGATTGTACCTTACAATGATGTATGCTACAATTCAGGCTTTCTATTTGTGGTAGAATTACTTAAGCTATTTCAGTACTGTTGCTTGGTAACAATAAAAAAACCTGCCAATCAAATATTTTCTCCTCCATGGGGCTGCCATTTGACAGCTTTCTTCTGCTCCTGTCATTGTGTTGTTAATGATTGCAGAAGTTGCAGAAGAAGAAAATGCTTAACACTGTGTTATCCACAGCTTTCCCTACTGATTTCTTTTGTGTGACACCAGCTCTCCCTAAATTGACACTGTGGTTTTTAACCAACAGCCCTCTGCAACTTCAGCACCATGGCTTTATTTGTCATTTAAAAGTACAAGAACAAGCAGCCAAGGCAAAGACGTTTGCAATCAAGGGCAGAAACTTAGTCTTCACTGTATATATTAGAGTATGTCATGGTCCATATCATTTTGTTTCTGTCCCCCAAAAGAAATATGCCATTTAAAATATTTTAAATTGGTGCCAAATGATTAGAAAAGACAGAGCTGGAAAATGTGACAGGCTGAATGGTTGAGAATCCATCTCTTGAAAGCTGAGAAGAAGCTGCCCCAAACTGTTTATGGTTTTTGTGCCAATAAGACACTAAACCAAGATGAAAGTTTAGACCGACTGGTGGGAACAGTGGAAGCAGCCCGATTCTTTTGGTCCACCAGGCCACTATTGATAGTTTGAGTTCTGAGCAGGAGATTTTTCAGCCCAGACCTATCTGGAATTTCAGCTAAGATGAACTTCTAAATTCAAAGCTTGTGTTTTACGTCATATACCTGAAGGAATGTTCCATAGAAAATGCTCAAGACCTGTTTGTTTGGTTTTTTTGTTCCATACTGTGGAAAATAATGGTTTTAAACAGCATGAAGGCAAGATTTTGATGGAAAGTGAGAAAAAAATTCCTACCAGTAAGAACAGTTTGACAGTGGAACCAGGGTCCAGCGGGGTGATGGCTTCTCCTTCAGTGGATTGTCTTCTCTT